TGAGTTCTGGTCATGCGATTGCATAGTGAAAGAAACGGTGTGAAATCGACCGAAAAGGTTGATCATCTAGCATATAAGAATTTGTGTGTATTGCAAGGTTCTGGAATCATCAAAATGATAAGAAATTTGGCCAAGTCTTGGTTAAGTTACAAACACTGTACACAGAAAGATATACGGGACTACACGAACACGTGGCGTAAAAAATCTACCCCCCCCCCCAAGTTTTACGAGTTACATGACATATTTAGAATATAAAGGCATTTGAGGAGCCATGCTTTTCAGGGAACATGTCTTATCTGATGTTCTTACACACTTGCATAAGAAGAATGATAATGCTCACAATTATTTTTCACCCAGAACTTTCCAGAACTTTTCCCAGAACTCATCCTTCTCTTTAAATCCGAGCGCTTAAGCAAGGCGTTCAAGCAAGTCATGGAAAAACGGCAATTTTTAACCGGATTTACATCGATCTCAGGGGCTGTCTATTTTTTTGGGGAAAAAAAATCATGATTAGAAAAAAAAAAAAATAGAAAATGTAATAATAATCGGAAACCGATTTAAATTGGGTAATTATCAGGCCTGAAAGCTTTCTGCTTTCTGACTTTTGCTAGCCGTAGATAATTAAAAAAAATAATAATGTGAAGTGGTCATATAACGCATAATTATTCGTAGAATTCTCTACATTTTTTTTTTTACATACATACATTTACGTTGTATCAGAACATAGAATACATAGATATATAACAGCATTTCAACCAGATAATAATAACATAATAATTGATAAGATTGCTATGATAATTTGTAGTGCCAGATGATACAATTGCTATCTTGTATATAACCAGGCTACTGATGACCACTGCAGTTATAAAAATTATCCTGATATCTTAAAATCGCAATATTTTAACCCTTGTACCTACTTAAAGGTAAAGACCAGTTATGGTCATGCGATTGCATTGTGAAAGAAACGTTGTGGAATCGATCAGAAAAGGTTGATCATCTAGCATCTAGCATCTGCAAGGTTCTGGAATCATCAAAATGATAAGGAATTTGGCCCATTCTTCGTAAAGTTACAAGCACTATACACAGAAAGATGTATATGGGACTACCCTATATCTCTCACAGACCATGAGAGAAACAAATTTACCAAATATATGAATTAGTAGGCGGTTTCCCGGCAAATTTTTTATCATCATGTATTAGTCAAAACATATTCTTTCACATGATTGGTAATGAGAGCTTCCATTTAATTTTTTTGAAATTGGGGCGTTTCCAATACTGGTCTTTACCTTTAAAGAATAGGTCCGTTTTGTAATTTGGTAATTAAGACTTGTGTTACACAAAATGACGGACCTGGCATTAGCAATGCGTTGCTCATACGAACAAATGAATACATTTTCCAAAACTATGATTTTAATAAACATCATCTGCTATTTGGACTTTGGAGTATAGCCCGATATGTGTGACAAAGTATCAATTATTATCTTGATGTGAAGATAAGTGGATGGACGAACTGCAAATTAAAACATGTCATGTTGAACTTTTTGTGAAGGTTACATACTTGTATAATGATGATGATAACAAATATTCAGCCATTCTGTTTCCGTTATTTTTGTGCTTTCATACAAATGAACTTTCTACGAAGATTGGATCCCCTTTAAAATTTAAAACATTTCAAGGCGGGCAAAATGCCCTGAATGACAAATGAGTTTTTTTTATTTCTAACATAAGAAAATGGTCTAGGGAATTTCTTTAATTTCTTCAAATTCAGATTTTTTTTATTTAATCAAAAATTACCAATTTCAGACGGCGTTGACATTGGTTTCAATTTTACCAATCATTTTTTTTTCAACGGCGTATCACTCATAAAAATATTGTTAAAATCCACTGTCATACAGTGTATAGAAAGTAATTATATTTCGCATAAATATATGGCGAATGTATAAAAATTGGAAAAGAAGTGAATTGCATATTTTATATACTTGAATACCTTGAATACCAAAACTTCTGGAAGAAAGCCGTCTCCAGCTGCCAAGCTTCCAGGTCTAACTTCAAGGGGGGGGGGGGGGGGATGTCCCAGCTTCCGGGTCTTACACTTATAATATTCTTATTTGGTTGACAACATTTTGTTGTTGTTTTTGTTCTGTATTTCTCGTTTCTTTGCTTGTTTTATCAGGGAGTAATATTTCCTCAGAGTCCAAATAAACGAAAGTCATTTATTATCCTGATTTTCATTTTCGTTTTTGTCAATAAGTAGCGGTTCTATTTCCTGTACTGTACTCTGATGGCATATCTCATCACGGTATATTTTTAACCGTGATGACTTATGACTCGTTTAATGGCACTTTCTCCTGCGACAGTATCATTGCTCCGCGTCAAGACAAGAACCCAATTCTTAACTCCATACCTGAACGCAACACTACACTATAACTACCCCTAACCCTAACCCTAAACCTTACCTAAAACCTAATTGAAACCGTAACGAAATAAACCCCGGATGGAGTATAGCCGGAAAAAAAAACAAGGGAAACGCTCTCGGCGGTCTCGCCTGCATTACGCAATTCGATATGATGACAAACTGAGGTTGGAACATTATGCATATATAGGCAGGGTGGCCCATTAGCAGGCCCCCCAAAATGAAATCCTCTAAATATAATCACATTTTGAAGTGAATATTGCCTAAGAATCATCAAAAGAATTATTTACTATTAAATGTACCACGATCGATAACTTGAATGAAATATATGAACAAATTAATAAAAAAAATTATTAATTCTCATATTAAGTTGTGAAAACATAATCCAAGTCTACTGACCTTTGACCTTGTGACCTGGAATTTGTGTCATATGATTTGTGATACTTGATAACCCTTGGGTACAAGTTTCATGGAAATTGAACAATCAATTTTGAAAATATGCTAAAAAAATTCAAAATCTTGATGTTGATGCCGCAACAAAGTCTAAGTTTGTTGACCTAAAATGGCCTTTGACCTTAACTTAGTGACCTGAAATACTACTTACATGATTGGGGATACTTGATAACCCTATAGTCCAAGTTTCATTGACTAAGAACTTAAACTTTCAAAATTATATCAAAAATTCAAAAACTTAACCTTAGGTTAAGTTTTCGATGATGATGCCACAACATAGTCCAAGTCTGTTGACCTGAAATGACCTTTGACCTTGACTTTGTGACCTGAAATTCTACTCACATGATTGGGGATACTTGATAACCCTATAGTCCAAGTTTCATTGACTAAGAACTTATACTTTCACATACTTTCACCGGAAAAGCGGCGCCTATGTCTCGCTTTTTTGCTACGCAGGCGAGACAAAAATTGGGTCACCAAATGTTGGGACGACTTCATTCAAGCGGGACGATCTTTCAATCTTGCATAAGCTTGAATATGTGTGCAGGGTTGAACAGGCAGGACTTTGCCCTATATCTACGTAACAGCGAATTGAATAATCGTCTGACTGACATTATGACTAACTAATTAGATCAGCCCTTTGACAACATTGCGTGTGACCAGTAACTACATGTGATAATGTGTTCGAAATTAAACATCTGATTCTGAAGGGTTTATCTCTCGAGAGTCAAGACATTCATTGCATAACACCGATAAGATACGTAGGCAATTGCAATAGGCATAAGTTTGTTTTAAGTAAGTAGTGGCTGGCATGATCATATAATGTTTATGACAATGATATATATCCAGGGGGGTGTTTCACAAAGATTCTAAGTAGAACTTAACTCTAAGTTGGACTTAAAAATTATGGACAGCCATTAGCATCTTTGAAAATATTTGGTAAAAATATTTTTGAAAGGCATAAAATGTTTATTCAAATCATTCATATTTTCTATCATCAAGGAGATTTCATATTCTTGTTGTGGAATTTATAAAATGTCTAAAATACTTGAATTTCTGTTTTTGAGTATATTTCATTTTAAGGCTCCAAGGGCTGTCCATAATTTTTAAGTCAAACTTAGTGTTAAGTTCTACTTAGGATCTTTGTGAAACACCCCCCTGAACTTTAACATCATGATTATATGAGCGATCATTAAAAGAAAATATACCTGAACTGAAATAGTGGGGTGAACATGGGAACAAAGGCATACATAATGATGGATTAATGACAACATTACTGTAGCCAAATAAAGATGTTCAAAGGAGAATGACAACCAAATCAATGTATTTATTTTTCATGCATAAACATTATACAGATGGTCGTTTGAGGTGATACTATGTGTAAGTGGAACGACCGAGATAGCGATCATGATCAAGCTGCTGATGGCGATGGTGATGATGAATATGGTGATGATGATGTGATGATTGACGTCGTGGTGAATCTATTCATAATGATGGTCTGGTGGTGGTGGTGATAACGACAGTGATTGGTGATGACAATATAGTGTTCATGATAATGTTGATAACGATGTTCATGGTGGTGGTGTTATGATGTAGATTATGATAACAACTTATGAGGGTGATGATGTTGATGATGATGATGATGATGATGATGATGATGATGATGATGATGATGATGATGGTGGTGGTGGTGATGACAATTGGGTGATGATGATGATGATTAAGCCGATGATGTTCATAATCATGGTGGTGACATAATAATCATGATGATGGAAAGATTTAAATTAAAAGGATGATGATGATGATGATGATGAGGATGAGGATGCATGAGGATGAGGATGAGAAGGAGGAGGAGGAGAAGAAGGAGGAGGAGAAGGAGGAGGAGGAGGAGGAGGAGGAGGAGGAGGAGGATGGTGATTGTGATACATGGTGTTCCGACTTTTAACAAAAATAATAATTCTACTTCAAAGACGACAAAATTACAACAACAAAAAACTCCAAGCGAGCCTCTATTTCCATCAAAAAAAAAATGACGGAGTTTGTGGAAGTCCCAGTTTGCCCCCACGGCTGTGCAAAGGTGAGCATCATGAATAAACGGATATAACTAATTTGAAAGCACATATTCAACACATACCATATTGATCTTCATATCCCCAGGCCCGGTATCATTGTGGTTGACTTCCAGTACGGCGGGCTGGTCGTTCTCTGGGTCCCTGCTCGGTGCGACAGTCGTCGGTGTTTCCTCCGTCGCCCCGAAGTGCGTGTCCTGCTCATGCTCTTCTCCCTCCATTTTGGTTATGATAAATGAATTCCTTGGACGTAGTTCGCGGGATAGATATTTGCTTCAAGAAATCTGTCCTCAAATACCATGAAAATAAATTCAGAGACCAGCGTCGAACTGTAGATATCCCAAGTTATACTGTAAACTGAACACAGAAGTGTGAAAGAAGGTTAACAGAATGATAACAGATGCAGATCTAGTTTCGCAAGAGCGGTAAGGCTGAAAAGGATCGTTTTGTACGTTGTGGCATTGTGCTATTCAGGTGTATTCATTAGTAGTAAAAAGGATCGTTCGGGCATTACGTAATACCCCCGCTCTTCACACGCGATCCTATTTAGTCTATATTCGCAGACTCCAACTGTGGAATATTAATTTTGATAAATAAATCCGTGCTTGAATATCAAATTTGCCTCGATTTGCCAACTATAGGTGAATGTTAGAGATTTCTTAATATTATATTGTTGTGTATCCAGGTCTTTTGCAACCATGCAAATCAATGACTATCGGTAGAAAAAAAAGTTGTACATGTAGCTGTTCTAATTCGTGTTCACACATTTTGACCTCAAATTCCCCTGTCTAAATACCATCGAAGCTAAGCTTTGGTCAGATTTAGGGGGGGACACACACATCACCCTGGAGACCCTAACTTAACTTTTTACTACTTCTTGTAAAAATAAGACATAGTGTTGACACATTTTATAAATGTAGGCCTAAATTAGAAAAATACCATAACAAGACATTGGGTATAAGGTGAAAATATAGAATCTTTAACAAATCTTGAAAGGGTTGTATTAACCAAAGGGTATAATAAAGAGACTGTTGAGGGTTAATCCAAGTTGAGTCTAGGAATGCAGTCACGTGGTCGAGTCCTTTATATAATACTCGAAATACAGTGACCAAACACGTGCATACCTGTCCAGCGAAGGACCTTTGCTCTATCAAGACTTCTTGGCGTAGCCGGGGGGGGGGGGGGAGTTTATAGTGCCCCGAGGTGCCCCCATAATGAAATAATACAACAACAGAAAAGAAACATGATGACATTATACCTAAGTAACACTGCATAAGCTCTGTAAAGCATCAACATGCAAAGTTTTAATACGCCAAAATGAAAATTTTCGTTCAGTCGCTACGCTTCCTCGCAGAATACTTGGTGTTTCACGGCTTCAACGTTATTCTATCATCATCATCATCATCATCTATACGGGAGTGTAGGATATCCTGTAGGTTTCCCGGTCAGATCACTTGGTACATTAGTAAAGGTCTATATCAGTGCATGCGTGGATGTCAGACTATATGCTATAACAAAGTGTTTGTCCGACCAAAAAGAATCCAAGCTGTGTTTAAATGAGCTGATGCTGGTAGCAGTTACTAGAGACTCTGGTAAACTGTTCCAAGACTGGATGACCCGATTGCTAAAAAAGTTACTCCTGACATTCAATCGACAGCGAGTAGTGAATAACTTCAATGAATGGCCTCTTGTTCTCTGATACTGAGATTTCACAAAAAAACAATCTGGATCGAGTCTATCTATACCATGAAATATCTTGAAAACTTGGATCATGTCTCCTCTTACCCTCCGGTAATGTAAAGAATAGAGATTGAGCCGTTTAAGTCTTTCGCTGTAAGATAGGACGCTGAAACCTGGGAACAGCCTCGTCGCTCTACGTTGCACAGCCTCAATTCTCCTGTCATCAGTGATGAACCTAGGGCTCCAAGCGACACTACAGTATTCCAAATGAGGACGAACCAACGCCTTATACAAAGGCAAGAATATGTCTGGATCAATGTTAACAAATGCACGCTTGATAATGCCCAGCATTTGGTTGGCTTTCTGGGTAGATGCAGAGATGTGTTGACGAAAAGTGAGTTCACTGTCAATTAGAACACCAAGATCCCTTTCAGATTTGACATCCTCCAATACGACGTTCTCCATTGAGTAGGAACAGTGCAAGTTATTATTTCCTATGTGGAGAGTTTTACACTTCTGGAAATTCCTGCTATTTAGTGTGATAATGCAATACTATATGCAAACAATTATTATGAAACCAGTTATCAATATATTTAAAACGTTAATGAAGGTTTACTCTATAAGTGTGTGCCAAATTATCAAACATTAATTTTGTTTATACTCGGAGTTGTGTATCCGGACAGGTTGTGTAACCGGATAGTAATGTTGATTCAAAACAGCAATACAAAGAAGTTTACAAGCAACTATATAGTATTTCACAAATCCTCTAAGACTTATTAATATGTTGGACAGTGTTATAAAGGACAAATATTCATGATGGTAAGTGCTATTTGATGAATATTTGTTGTTCAATCCGAAGCTATATAGCAAAAGAGAAGGCTCTATATGTTTCCGGACACCCAACCCCAATCATTATGAAACATTAAAAACTGAATAGACTGGAATAAAACACGAACAACCTGAAATCAAATGCAATACTCACCAACTATTAATGGATGTTCCTGAAGAATTCACGCATAACACATGTCAATACTGTCTTGGCAATACACCCCTTTTGACGGCTTGTGAAAAACATCATAAGAAATACGTTTAAGTTCCACGATGGCCGTGAGATAAAAAGACGTTGATAAAGAAAGATTATTGACTCCGTTATCTCCGTATAAATTATGGTGACCATTATCTTTATCAGTATTACTTAGTAAACAAATAGTTCATATGCGCGAGTGGATTAGTGAATATGCACGCAGTTAGATAATGAACGATATTTTGTAGAGTTCACTATCCTGTTCATTGTGACTTAACCGAGTGCATCGCAAATCACATAATGCACCATTAGCTTCAAAACATAAATATCTATTTTTATGAACGTGTTTACAGTATGAATATAAAGCAGAGAACCAAACAAAAAACATGCACAACAACCTGATCAAACTTCAAGATTCACACAGTCATATCATGGGGGCCGCCATTTTATAAACGCTAGCCCAGCTAAAATGTTTCAATGCGCGTCTCAGTGCGCGCATCAATGTGACCATAGCGCTAGGTCTTCATTTTATGTTTATCGCAAAATTAATAATAGGCTTAGGGTGCCGGGGTTTGGTTTTCGTGAGGGTTAAAGCTCATCTCTACTAGTTTATAAAAGGGATTAGACCACCCTGCAAGGTCACTGGACAGGTGGTTATCTCATCAACTCAGCTCTCAATTAACATTTTTAAAAAGAGGATCATGGGGTCCAATTAGGCATTGTTTTCTATAGAGGGAGCAAGTGGCTACAAGTTGTACAGTGTGGCTTTAAGTACAGCGTTTAGTCTTGGGTTAAAATTTGAAACTCGGTTTATCGTAGGTATATGTATATAATTTTCGCAAGGACATGTATACAGAACCGGCTTATTGTCACTGAACAGGATTGTATACGTCCTGGCAGTATCATCCTAATAACAATGGAAGAAGGCAAGTTGTGTAAAACGCAGTCAAAGATTAACAAACAGAGCAACACCATTTTATCAATTATTAACCTCGTCATCTGCGTTTTTGTATCACGGATGCACTACAGACTCCTTGGTCAAATAAATCAATCAAGATTGCTTGACATGCAAGCGAATAATAAAACTTAAAGATAGTGTCAATGATGTATACTCTGCTGGGGCATCTTCAGACCCTTTTTGAATGAAGGGGTGTCATATCATTATAAAAAAGGAAGTAGATTATTTACCACCACCAACCCCCCCCCCCCCCTCGAAAAGAAAAAGAAAACATTAACGATTTGGGGATAAACGGGTTTGAAAGAAGGAAAAAAAAACAATTAATTTTTATAAGGGGATGTCACACCCTATACTCGTCGCATCTGATGCCACTGGTGCTGTTTTGTTTTGACTTGACTTTTATTTGAATCAGGGCAAATATCCTTGGAAACTAATAACTCCTATTTAGAGAAATTGCCCCTGGCCAACTTCCCCCAATAAATACGGCTACGATCTTGTGAATATCAAATCCTTTTTGCTTTCTTTTTTTCTTTCTAAACCTGTTGACTCCTCTACACAATGGATTTCGCTGACACGTATGTTAAGAGCAGAACCAAAATAAATCTTTTGACATTGCAACATTTATTACAGAGTGACTTTTACAAGAGATAACGTATAGTGTTTGAAAATGCTCCAATACTCAAAAAAAGGGGAAAAATCCCGAAAACAAAACAAAAATAAACGATGTTTATTAGCGTTATATCGGATGTCTGACCTATAACCAAACCAAGGATAAATAACCGAGCCAGACGATAAACATATAACATTACAACTCTTTCTGTAACCTTCACTTCAAACTTCGGTATTAAACATGCAAGTGGGAGAGAGGAGCTTACATAACTCGGTGATATCAGGATCATTACGTAAGCACCTCCACCCAATCGATGATTATTAACATTGGCGTAGCTAGGGTGCATTAGGGCACGCGCCCTCACACCGCCCCTCCCCATTGCTTGTATCTGTGCATTTAGACGTTTTGTGTACACAAGAATGGCGAGATAGAAAAACACAGCAAAATCATGCATGCGAGAAAAGAAATAAAGAGAGTGCATGGGAAAGGAAAAGCAGAAAAGATACTGATGGGACCCTGTCCGGTAAACATGTATTTTCATCATAATATCTAGGGCCTTGTGTACTTCATTCAACGAATAAGATCGTTACACCCCCCCCCCCCCCCGTCCGACGCCCATTCAATGGTGAGACCCACACAACGCCGCCGATTTTTGTTTTTGTTTTTGTATACAACATAATATAACTTCATACTCGGTATGATCTTATATACGATCATCACACAGGTAGTTTTCCTTTTTTTTCATGCGTACTTTTGAAATGAAGAAAAAAAATTGAATTTAATCAAATATGAACCATTTTGGTATTTTTTTTCATGCGTGCCTTTGAAATGAAGCCAAAAAATAGAATTAAATCGAATATAAACCATTTCAGTACTTTTTTTGTTGATGGAAAGGGCATGACGGGCAAAGGAAATTCGTAACATTTATGAGAGTTTTTATCTGCAAGGGAATCGCCTATAAAATAGCAAAAAGATTGAATCACGAGGCCTGAACTAAACTTGTCTGATATTTTTATTTATACAAAAAAAAAAATATTGTATACGATGAGGCTATTAGACCTCTCAATGCGTGGTTTAATTGATTAATATGCCTTTAATTATTATTTTTTAAACAAATGATAAGGCAGGATCGGCAACACCCATAAACATCATA